GGGTGAGGCAAGGGAGATCTGGAGTGGGAAATGGAAGAAGAGAGTCATAGATATGACTTTATATGATTTTATAATTGATCTTGTGACCAATTATAAAAGTGAAGACTATAGTAGCTTTGTGTATTTTCATTTTGCTTATATGTATTTATATATGCTAACCATTTTAATTTTCCTTCTATTATATACTGGTTGTGGGAGGTTAACTCTGTAATTTATTCTTTAGGTAACAGAATATTCTGTTGGACTGAGGAATTAATTTATATAGCCAGCGATGGATACGATGACATTTGAGACTGAGTGTCTCCTAGTGTTAGGGAAAGTATGAGAACTTCTCCACTTGCACAAAGGGTAGATGTGTCCCAGGTAGAAAGAGAGTTGTTTTGTTGTTATATAGAAGTCCAAACTCTTGTAGGGATATAAATGGAAACAATAGCCAAAGGGGTGGACTGTGCCAGTCACTAACTTGTTGCCTTTCAGCTGTAAATGTTCTTTGTGATGATGGAGCTAGATCCTGTAAACTGTAAACATTTCTTCTTTGCCAGTTGACAGTTGTTGTTAGAAAGCCAGGAGAAGGGCCAGGCATGGTGGCTCATGCCTGTAATCCCAGCACTTTGGGAGGCCAAGGTGGGTGGATCACCTGAGGTCACGAGTTCGAGACCAGCCTTGCCAACATAGGAAAACCCCATCTTTACTAAAAATACAAAAATTAGCTGGGCATGGTGGTGGGCACTTGTGATCCGAGCTACTCAGGAGGCTGAGGCAGGAGAATTGCTTGAACTCTAAAGGCGGAGGTTGCAGTGAGCCTAGATTGTGCCATTGCACTCTCTAGCCTGGGTGACAGAGCAAGATTCTGTCTCAAAACAACAACAATAAAACAATAACAACAACAACAAAAAAGAAAGTCAGGAGGACACTGCAAGAGGAAGGGGCTTCTCTCCTCCTGGTTCTGATGGCTTTTTTCTTTCTGGTTCTGGGAGCTTATACTGCCACCTTCCCAGCTAAGTTTGGCAGCACCTCAGAGGGCAGATTCCCAGTGAGTTTCAGTGACACTCCTATGGGTGGCTTCCCAGTAAGTTGTTCATAGCAGCAACCCAGTGAGGCTGAAGGGCATCCAGTTGTGTTTGTCCTTAGCAAATTTTGCAGGCATTCCAGCAGGCAGCTTCCTAGAGAATTTCACCAGCACCGTATTGGATGGCTTCCCAGAAAGTCTCAGTGGCTTCCCCACTCCCAGAACTCTTCCCATCAATTTGCAGTGGAAGCCTAGGAAGCTTTCTAGTCAACTTTGCAGGTGTTCCAGCAGGTGACTGAGTCTTGCTGGAACCTCAGTTGATGGTTTCCTGCTTGCCAGTGCCAGCCTGTGGCACCTCAATGAACTCCTTGGCCTGCAGTGGTACTCAGCCACACCTTCTGATGAATTCTGTACCTCAGCCTTGGGGAGAAAGTACTCTTTCCAAGTTCCTTGGGTATCCTGCCTTAGCCTTAGAAGTGTCGCTTTTTCCTTTGTCTGCTGTTGCTCTATTCTTTAGGGTTCTAGTTACCCATGAGTAATCAATCCTCTATTGCTAGGTACTTTTTTATATTAAATTTTCTCTATTCACCATGTATGTGGGGTTTCTGTCTCCTTACTGGACCCTGATTAGTACACAAATTAAAAATGAGAAAAGATGTATTAGATAAAATACTAAAATCAAAGTAAGTCATGATGCCAATATTTTAGAAAGTTTAATTCAGGGCAAAAAGCATCAAATGTTATAGAATGCAATATAGTGAAGATAGAATATTCATTGGTATCACTGCACCAATAACAGCGACAATCTTACAAAGTTCTAGTAGGCTTAGCTTTCCTTTAGTTCAGCATTGACAGCGCCGATAAACAGATTACAAGAAAGTCATAATACCTAAAACATACTAAATAAGGTATATTAACTTATATGAATATACGTAGAATTTTATACCTTGAAAACCAAGAATACATATTTTTTTCAAGTGTCCATAAAACATTTGCTGAGACTAATATAAGATGTGGCCACAGAGCAAACAACTTTCTCAAAGTAGGAATAATACAGATAACATTCTGTGATCAAATGGAAGATAAAAATTAAATACTAATATAAACACACATACGCACACACACACAACAGAAATTTTTAAAATGCCACCTGAAACTTGAAAAGAACCTTTTTTTCAGCTGGGTGCAGTGGCTTACTCCTGTAATCCCAGCACTTTGGGAAGCCAAGGTGGGAGGATCATGTGGTCAGGAGTACAAGACCAGCCTAGCCAACATGCTGAAACCCCATCTCTACCAAAAATACAAAAAACAGTCAGGTGTGGTGGCAGGTGCCTGTAATCCTGGGTACTCAGGAGGCTGAGGCAGGAGAATCATTTGAATCTGGGAGGTGGAGTTTGCAGTGAGCTGAGATTGCACCATTGCACTCCAGCCTGGGCGACAGAGCAAGACACCATCTCAAAACAAAAACAAAACAAAGCAAAAAACACCTTTTTTTCCTCACACAACTCTTTGGTCAAACAGGAAGCTAAAATTAAAATTGGAAAATATCTAGAAAATAGTGAAAGGTCTACTTAGAACTTATAAGAATCTCATGCCTAATGAGGTGACCAGAAGAAAATTATAGCTTTAAATAATTAATAAACAGGAAGAATAAAAAAAAGAAATAAACATTTACCACCAAAAGTTAGAATACCAAAACAAAGTTTATAAAAGCAAAATGAAGAATAATAACTGGAAATTGATAAATTTGCAAAGAAAAAAATGGCAGAACCAATACGTGAAATCCAAATGTTGGGTTTTTGTATCAGAACAAACAAGAAAATGTTAGTTGAGCTAATTTTTTAAAGAAAAAGAGAAAAATCACCGTTACACAAAATAAGAATTGGTAAGTAGAAAATTAACAGCAGATAAAGAATTTCAGAGATGTATAAGAGATACATATGTTCAACTCTGCAAATAAATTTGAAAATCTAGATGAAATAAGTAATTTTCCAGAGAAATATAATTCATCAAAAATCAACTCCAGAAGGGATGAAAACTCTAAATAGACAACTGCCTTGGAAAAAGTAGAGAAAGATGCTAAAGTCTCCCCTCCCATCCCCAACAAACAAGTATGCACTCACCAAACACACACCTAGAAAATTTCTTACTACAATTAATAAGAGGATCATCATTATCAATACTATTATTCTGAAAGTCGTTATTAATAAATTAGATAAATGAATGAAACTTACCTTTGGAAATTAGGTTAATTTATCATTTGTTTGCACATTATATAATTGAATACATGGAAAATCCAAGAGAATCAGCTAGAAAACTGTTAAAAATAAGAGAATTTAGCAATATGGCTGAATTTAAAAATAACATACAAAAATCAAACTATAAGTAAAAAGAAGAACATAACAGAAATTACTATCCTATTTACAATAACTTCAAAAAATCAAACAGCTATTAAGATTTTAAAATCTTTTTACTATGGAAAATTGTAGAGCAATAATTAACCCTGACACACCCATCTTCCAATACAAATAAACGAATCATGATTCACTTCCACATCTACCCTCAGATTATTTTGAAGTACATGTGTGAGGTCATATTTAATTCTTAAATATTTCAAGATAGATATAAAAGATACTATAGATTCTATGGAATATAACATTCAACATCATAAGGAAGAGAGTTCCCAGGTAAGGTAAACGATCACAACAGGCCCACAGAGACAATGTCCAGATTGGGACGGGGGGCACAAGAAGCCAATAAAGAGAAGACTTGAACGTGACCGGGTGTGGTGGCTCACACCTATAATCCCAGCACTTTGGGAGGCCGAGGCAGGTGGCTCTGACTTGAGCCCAGGAGTTTGAGACCAGCCTGGGTGACATGGTGAAACCCTATCTCTACTAAAAGTACAAAAATCAGCCAGACATGGTGGCACATGCCTGTAGTCCCAGATACTCAGGAGGCTGAGGCATGAGAATCACCTGAGCCTGGGAGGCAGACGTTGCAGTGAGCAGAGATGGCACCAGCACTCCAGCCTGGATGACAAAAGGAGACTGTCTCAAAAAAAAAAAAAAAAAAAAGTTGAAATAATCATAGTTACTTACTGGAAAATAATCATAGTTACTTACCAATGAGTGTGAGCATTTTGAAATAGTGATAAGTACACATAAAAAGTAACAAGAAAAAACCTGAGGTAATCATCAATCTCAGGAAAAACAAAATGTAGAGTGCATGGCAGCTATGAATAATAGCTTCATAGTTATGATCACATAGATCCTGACAATTGATTTAAAATCACAGCATTAAAAGAAATAAGTGAAGGAAAGTTTGTGGGTAGAGGATATAAATGTTCTTAACCACTGTAACATTTACTTAATGTTAAAATTAATGTATCAGGAAATGACAGTATAAGCATGTTCTTTGCATAGAAGTCACCAATAGGAGGAACAGCTAAAATATCATAGTTTCTTTTAATTAGGACTGCACATGGGGAGAAGCATGGTATAAGGCCATTAATCTTTATTATAAGAAAGCTTTTAATATTTGATTTTAAAATCATAATTATATATCACCTTGATTGAAAAATAAAAATTGGCTGGGTGTGGTGGCTCATGCCTATAATCCCAGCACTCTGGGAGGCCAAGGTGGAAGGATCACTTGATCCCAGGAGTTCGAGACCAGCCTGGCCAACGTGGCGAAACCCTGTCGCTACTATGATTATATAAATTAGCCTGGTGTGATGGCACATGCTTGTAATGGCAGCTACTTGGGAGACGGAGACAGGAGGAATGGCTTGAACCCAGGTTGCAGTGAGCCAAGATCACTCCACTGCTCTTTAGCCTAGGTGATGGAGGGAGACTATCTCAAAAAAATAAAAATTAACAAGCAAAAAAAAATGAGAAAGGAAACCACACTCCCCTGGAATATTGTTGAGTGTAATCCAGAAATGTTCATCTGGACTATAGGTATCCTCAGACCACTGGAGTAACTCAATGGCTATTTTATTATAAAGAGCAAAATGGACAAATTCCCTTGTAAGGGCAACATAAGTTGAACCAAAGTGGATTTTGAGTTGACGTGGAGATGGGCTCTTCCTTTTACTCTTCTGTAGGACAAAAGCATGTGATCTGGTTCTGTACTCTCTATGGGTATATTTGATCCTTTCAGTAGATTTCAGAACAGACACTAAATTAGGTGTAATGTTTGTCCAGTTCATCGTTTTTAAATACTAAACTATCTCCCTGTTGGTTTTTAGGGGGAAATCGTGATCACCAGTGTTAATGACATATTTCCACTGAACAGCTGATGCTATAAGATCTCTCATGCAGGCCAGGTCTGCTTGGAGCTTGGATTTGCCCCCATAAATAATGTACTCAGATTGTGAGGATATAAATGCATTTGAGAAGCACTCCAGTAATTCACTCACAGCAATTTTGAAGTCAGTCGTGGCCGCCTTATCAACATGAATACAGTGGACATTTTGAGGCATGTAAATAGCCCGGAAAAGTCGTTCAAACGTATGAAAATCTTGACTGATGGTTATTACATATGCCAAAGGGAATGCAGCTTCTTCTGTGGACAAAGGTGTTGTGACATAGTGGTTCTCTAGCACATAGTAAAAGCAGGAATCTATTCCAAATGTTGTGGATAGAGCACTTGGCAACACTTGCACCGTCTTCCCATTTAGGGCTGCATCACAGATGTGCAGTAGGGAAAGGACTTGATATTCACCACCTGCATCATCCATTTGATCACTGTCTGGTTGACTTACACGCACGTTGTATAATACCGTGACGATGATTATAGCTTGAAGAGTAATGACACAAAGATAACTGCTCCAAAATCTCATTTTAGTTTTTGACAACTTGGGGTAGAAGGGTGGAGGGAAAGAATTCTTCTTTGAGGGTTAAAGAAAATAATCAATTAATAAAACATTTTGCTTCTCTACAAGTCTCTACAATCTATAGCAGTGTATATGGAAATTCTGTCTCCTCTAAAATCCACAGCCAGTTGTGGGGAGATTTTGCCATCCAATGTTGCTAGGACCCTTCAAAACTAAATGAATGAGGGATATTAGTTGCACTCACTCATTGTTTCAGTTGCACTCACTTTTTCAAATCCCGTTTGCTTATTTTAATTCCTGGCCATTTCCCCGTTGAGTGTCAATTTTGTGATATTTCTTATTTCTTGTTCTGTGAATGTTCTTATCATTTAGTCAATGTATCCTCATCCAGGCTGGGCTACCAAGACTACTCAGTGTGACTCACCCTCCTTTCTGTCTTATCTGCTCTAACTGGGGAGCTGGGGTAAAGGGTGAGCTCTCATTTCTTGTTTCTATTGTTGAACCAGCTAATCTGTCATAATTGTATCCAGTTACATGCCTCTCTATATCCACCCCACCTTTTGTGTCTAGTTTCTCCCTGAGTATACATATCTAGGTGTATTCCATTAATTTCCCATCTGGCTTATCAATCCTAACCTTTTAGGCAGAAAGATCCTTCCAGATTTCTGTCCGTTCAAGTAAGAGTACTTCATTAGGCAGAGCCAGGTCTTAAGAGTTTTTATCCAAAGTGGTCAGCATATCACCAAGCACATTTGGGCACTCAGCGGATTCTTCCAATGAACAATTGAAAGAGTGACTCATTTCCCTCTTTCCTTTAGTTTTGAAGGGTCCCAGCAATATTAGATGGCAAAATCTCCCCACAACTGGCTGTGGATTTTAGAGGAAGCAGAATTTCCATATAAACTGCTGTAGATTGCAGAGGATTCGGGACTGATTTTAACATGACTCATTACTCATATATATTAATAATTTTGATTATTCATACAATTTCAAACTATTGCTTTTACAGGTAGACTCGTATTTCATATGAATTTTCTAGATAACTGGAGTGCATTTCTTTATGGGCCAACTCTCTCTCTCTTTTTTTTTTTTATTTTGAGATGAAGTCTTGCTCTGTTGCCCAGGCTGGAGTGCAGTGGCACAATTTTGGCTCACTACAACCTCTACCTCCCAGGTTCAAGCAATCCTCCTGTCTCAGCTTCCTAAGTAGCTGGGATTACAGGTGTATGCCAGTATGCTTGACTGATTTTTGTACTTTCAGTAGAGACGAGGTTTCACCATATTGGTCAGGCTGGTCTCAAACTGCTGACCTCGGGTGATCCACCCAAAGTGCTGGGATTATAGCTGTGAGCACCATGCCCAGCCAGGCCAACTCTCTCTTAATTGTTATTTGTTTTTCTAAAAGTTAATATGTTTTCTCTGCCTTCTTTTATAAGCTGTACAAAGATAAGGGCTTCTTGATGACTCCCCAAATCATATAATGAATATTATTATTATTTTAAGACAGGGTCTCTCTCTGTCATCCAGGCTGGAATACAGTGGTGCGATCATAGCTCACTACCACCTCAACCTTCTGGGCTCAAAGGCAAGCCACATATAGGAGAAGGAAACTGGATCCTCATCTCTCACCTTATATGAAAATTAACTCAAGATGGATTATGCACTTAAATCTAAAACCTAAAACTATAAAAATTCTAGAAATAATACTGGAAAACTCCATGTAGACACTGGCTTAGGCAAGGATCTCATGACCAAAAACCCAAAAGCAAATGCGATAAATACGAAGATAAATAGCTGGGACTTAATTAAACTAAAGATCTTTTGCATGGGAAAAGGAGCAGTCAGCGGAGTAAATGGACAACCCACAGAGTGGGAGAAAATCTTCACAATCTACACATCTGACAAAGGACTAATACCCAGAATCTACACTGAACTCAAACAATTCATCAAGAAAAAAAAATCCCATCAAAAAGTGGGCTAAGGACATGAATAGACAATTCTCAAAAGAAGATATACAAATGGCCAACAAATATAAGAAAAATGCTGAACATCACTAATGATCAGGGAAATGCAAATAAAAATCTGTGATGTGCAAGGCCCTTGATCCTAACCACTAGTTACAAAAGAGTCTGGCAATCCATCTCTGTAGAGGGGGCGGGCACCTTCTTTTCCTGATAGTCATGTCCTTTCTTGCTAGATGTCTTCCTTACTGTCCACAGTTTGCTATCTGTTTTTCCAGGTTTATAAAGAAAGAAACCTAGGATGATGTGTTCTCCTCTCCCCATCAGACTCTTTTCAAACCAAACCACCACTTTGGGGAAAAGCATTGTTAACTGAATGCTGGATCATATGGTAGTTCTACTTTTAATTTTATGAGGATCTATAAACATTTTAGAAATGAGAAAACTAGACAAGTAATTTAATCCCAAGGTCACAAAGCACAGAAGTCACAAACCTGTGACAGCGCGCCTCCTATCATACCATACAGCCTTCCTACCTCAATGCACAATCAAAATATGCCCTAGAATTAATTAAACACACACACTGCAAATACAACAGAAACAATAGTTGGAACTGGACGTGAGTTGTTTACATGTATCATATTACCTATTATGCCGAAATTCATCACTGCTTCCTTCGGAAGTCTCACTGAGTCCCATAGAGCACCCTTGGGAAAATAAGCAAGTGAAATTCATGAGCTCAAAACACATACTTACATAAAAATGATCTCTAAAGGCTTAGTTCTAACCAGGAACCGAGCATCATTACCTCAGCATTGTCTATATAAAAAGTGACACTCTGACTTCCTAGGTTGAAGTGGATCCAAAATTTCTCTAAGCTTTCATCCTCTGGTTTTCTCATCTGTAAGAGATCATTTCAGCATGAATTATACACTCAAAAATCATGCTAAAGGGTCAGATAAACATTATTCCCTTAAAAATAGAATTTGTGCTTTTCCTGGAACATTACAGGCCCTCTCTTTATTGACTGACTCCTTTGTACAAAACAGAATAATCTCAATTTTATAGAACTCAGCCATTTCTCCTCACCCCTCCAAAAATCCCAATATCCTTTTCAATTTAATATTTAAATGTGTCACATGATTCTATCCATGCAATTTCTTTTCTCATGAAAATCACAGAGAAAACAGTTCTGTGTTGAATCAGCAACAATCCACACTACATATGGATGGAAACTTCTAGAGAGGGAGATACTGTGACCAAACATGAGTGATTTGCCGTCTACCTTCCATCCATTAGAGTAAAGCCAAGACTTGAAAACTTCAAATTTCCTTCATTTTAATTATTATGAAATAAATATATGTTTACAGTTAAAACAGAGGAAAAAAATTCTAACAGTATGGTATTTATAAAAACGATAAACATATTCTCTACCTCAGCTTTTCATAGGTACCTTTCCATAGGCACCATTAACAATGCCTTAGTTTCCTCCCAGATGTTTTCCAGACATATATCAAGAAATATATATAAAGATATTATTTCCCAACAATAGATAAAACACTAGACTTACTTTTCTACAACCCGATTTTCCAGTAAGTTGTACTTCTTGGACATCTTTCCTTTGCATCGTATACGTCTATCTTTTAACAGCTACAGAGGTGAATGAGGACTTTTACCCATAATACATGTTCCTGGAAGCCAGTGTGAGGGTCAGCATAAGGGCCCTAATGGAAGTGAATGGAAATTTGGATATCACAGAAAGAAGGAAAACCAAGCAGAGAGCAGAATCCTCAGACAACCAGAGGGAAAATACACAGAATTGAGACACAGGAATCAGCCTACTAGAATCACTTCTAGAGAGAAGGAATGTGTAGTGTAGCCAGGAATTGACAGCTTAGCTCAGAGAGGACAAGAAGGGGACTCTGGACTCAAAGCAATGATGAAAGAGGACATTCTGAAGACAGGGTCCAGGAAACCCGAACAAAGTCGAGGTTCCAAGACCTATAAATATTTTAGCCTGAAACTGAGATACTGTAGGATGAGGCTCTTTTATATGAAGGAACTTGTTCCCCTAGAAACCAAATTGTGGGGGTGGGAGAAGAAACTGGTCAACCTTGGACTATAAAGTGCAAGGTAGAATGAGCTAGAGAGAAAGGAAAGTGGCCTCAAGTGTTGCGAATAAAAGGGAAAGGCATAAACTAGAAGGAAAGAAGCAAGGAAATCATCCTTTTTACCCCAGTCTAGGCATGAACTATGTCACCTATGAATAGGGTAAAATGAGGCAAGCTTCCTGTAACTGTCCTCATGGATACAGTACAGACCCTCAAATTCCTTTTTCCAGTAGTAATAGTAGAGCCCTTAAACTTACTGGTAATGCATTCTGGTTAGGGTATGGTATGATCGGTTTGAGAACTGATGTCACTAGAAGGAGACATTAGCATCCTTTTTAAAATGCCCTTTGGAGTTATGAGAGCAGAAGTCTAACCTAACCATATAAACCTAACCACTGGTTTCACTGCACACCACCCTCAGGATCTCCAAAAGAGAGGAACATACCTCATGCTCATCAGCAAAAGCAGCGATACACGGAAATGAATACACCCTGCAAAATATCTCATAATTAAAAACAATATGGATGAACCTTAAACACATGTACAGATGTTCTGTGACAAGCACTTCTAACTAGAGTCTGCCATTAAGTCTCCTCCTACAGAGTATGGTAATGGGATTCAAGCCTGCAAATGGAGATCTACTATGGGTAGATTTCAAATCTCTATCTGGCAGTCAATAAGACAAGTTTACTAGTACTGTACCTCAACCCAGTTACTCGGCCAGATTCCCAAACAAAAGGAGTCAATTTCGCAAATATTGTCTGACCAAGGACTTAACTGTTCATGATACAACTACCTCCAGCAACCTCAAGTCAGGAAATTGTTCTTCATAAAATCTATGGATTCTCTAAAGGATGTATTATTTTAAAATACCCCAAGTCACAAATATTATAAAACTGATAGAGTTTTTCTTTTCCTTTTTCTTTTTTTTTTTTTTTTGAGCTGGAGTTTCGCTCTGACACCCAGGCTGGAGTGCAGTGGCGTGACCTCAGTCACTGCAACCTCTGCCTCCCGGGTTTAAGCCATTCTCCTGCCTCAGCCTCCTGAATAGCTGGAATTACAGGTGCTAATTTGTTTTGTATTTTTTTTGTATTGTTAGTAGAGATGGGGTTTCACCATGTTGGTCAGGCTGGTCTTGAACTTCTGACTTTGTGATCTGCCTGCCTCAGCCTCCTAAAGTGCTGGGATCACAGACATGAGCCACCACTCCCAGCCGATAGAGATAATTTTTAAACACCCTCCAACAAACCACTAGGCAGAAAGGGTCTGATACTCTCAAGTTGCTACTCAAGGGACAACTGAGTATGCTCTGTAAATGATGTACCCAATATTCTTTCCAAACAGACCCTAAACTGTTCTTTTAAAAGATTAGACATTTTCCGAATACGGCTAGTCAATAATGCTCAGAGACACAGCTTACCTTCTTTGGTCACCAAGTCTGTTGTTTAGGTGATTGAGAAAACATCTACTGTCCTTCAAAGCAAATGATATAAAATCTTTTATTTAAAAAAAAAATCAAGATGTCTTAGTTAATACAACCTTAGCATATAGAGGCCTGTGTTTGCTTCTAAATGTCCAGGATGCAGTCACATCAATGAGGCTTTACAAGGATTTGTTATTACATGTTAACAATATTTATGC